AAGGCTCGGAGACACGCTGGGATCCCCGACACCCTAAGGAAGGCTCGAGACACACTGGGATCCCCATAACCCAGTGTAGCCGACAGCTTGCTACTAAAGACTTTCTATTGCCTTAAAACCCTGTCTGAGTAGTCTTCTCTGGTGGGTACCCCACAACAGTTGTGGGGCCGACTCCGCCTGGGCACAGGGTCTGCTCTGGAGTGTGGTTGAAATGCAGTGACACTCCATTGGTGACAAATGATTTTTTTTCCTTTCAAAGCCCCCAAAAGATATTTTTAATGGTAATGTAGGCATCCTTAGAGAAATAAGGTTTTAATAAGTTATGAACTTATCCTCGCCCAGTCCTTTATCTCTTTGTAAAACTACACGTCAAATTTGACACAGGAAGATCAGACCCAAAATCTAAAAGCCAGTGTGCCAGTCAGCTTTCTGCCACTAAATTTGCAGGGGAGAGGGTAAGACACAGTTTCTACCCAGCCCTGGTAGTCCTGGAACTCGCTCTGTAAACCAGGCTGGCCTCAAACTCACAGAGACCTGCCTGCCTCTGCCTCTTGAGTACTGGAATTAAAGGGATTAATATTAAAATAGCCACTTATTTTTAATTATTGGAAGAGGAGTATGCATACATAAGTGTGGGTACCAATGGATTTCCTGAAGCTGGAGTTACAGGTGGTTAGGAACTGCAAAGATGCTGGGAACTGAACATAAGAGCCTCTAAAGAGCAGTCCACACTCAGTGTGGAGCCGTCTCCCAGCCCCAGACTGTACTCTTCAATGGCCTTCACAACCCCATCTTCAAGTTCCCTAGCTGCTCTCCAGTCTTCCCTAACCAAAAACAGTGTGCTGCTCGCCCTTAACCAGCTTCCTGCCTTGCCCTTTGTGAACACTACAGTTTCTTTTGTTTTGTTATTTTTTGTTTTGTTTCATTAGCTAGATTTCAGTTTCTTTTATAAATTTCTGTTCTTCCAAATCTGAGATTCTAAACATCTAAGTCCATTTTTTTTCCTTTCTGTCATAGTTAGACTTAAATATTTCCATCCAGTCTACAAAGTTCCTCATCGATATGACTAGTGCTTGAAGATATATTACCCATTTATGTTTTTATCTATTTCTCCCCACCGAGCTACAATCTCCTCTACTACCCCATAGCTGTATAAGTTTTGGAAGCCCAGTATGTCATTTATCAATTTTCCTTCTGCTCACTCGTAGAGTATTACACTCAATTCCCAAACTCTTAGGCGAAACTCACTCCCACCTCCACCTAAGCCCAGGCTTAGCAAGACAAGTTTCTTTGTTTTCAGTTTGAAGACGTAGATTTCCTTCCTTGCCAACGTTTCACAGAAGAGACAACTCTTTCGGTGTCATGGCCTTCTAAAGCATCCTCAGTCCTCACCCGTGGAAGATCAAGGCATCATCTCCTAGCCCGAGTCACCATTACATCAGCACACCGCTCAGGGCTGCCGAGGCGTTAGATCAGCACTCCGGTGACTCAGAGCTGCCAAGGCATTAGATCAGCACTATGGTGGCTGAGGGCTGCTGTGGCATTAGCCCACATGCCTACAACTCTAGTGATGCTTTCATTCTTTACTTTAGCCCTTAAGTATTT